CTCTTGAGATTCAATGCGTTGCGAAGCAAAGGAGTCATCTAGTAAACAAACGATGGTCAAATGACTGGCAAACGGAAGTCTGGAGGAATAGTTTCTTCATTAATGAAGCCTCATATGTCGCTTTTCGACCGCTCCAGCCAAGCAGACTGAGCACAGCTGATCGGCTACATGCAAAAGTTTATTGCCGTTCTCTGGAACTAAGAACTCGCTGCCATTTCCGCAAACCAAAAAGGGTGTCATACAAAGACAACACTTCTTGTTCATTAAGCATTCTTATCTGCGACTGTCTCTGATGATGGGTTCAATTGAGATGTTAAAACGTCAGCTCAATAAGTGTCTTGTTTGGTCGATCACACCTTTTTTCATCTGAATAGTGGGATAAAACTCATCTGTTGGCTTCTGTCGGTAAGCTAGGCTAAAATTGCACATCCGTCCACAAAAGCAAAAATTGGCCGCATGAACTACAGACTCAGAGCAATATTGCAACGTACATTAGAGAAGCTGACTGCATATGTGACCTTTAGGGAGCGACCATCTTGGGCAGTGGCAATCCGAGCGCAGACCTACTAGCACTTAAGCTGTGGTATTAAAGTGATTACTGCATCAAAAGACGTCACGATCGTCCTGGATCATTACGCAAATAAAAGCCAGGACGAGATGGTCACACAGAACCGAACGAAAACCGCGCAGTTACGGCCGAACGACAAAGTAACCCATCGAAAGAGAAAAAGAGCCGAAACGCTTGACTGGCTGAGCATATTGCTGGTATGTCTGCTCCATTTAAGGCTCTAGCAATTGTTAGTCTGTCATGCTCTCTGGAACGCGACCTGTGTAGGAAACTGCATCGGTGGGCCCCTCCTCCTTTTTAATTACCCTCAAATGGACTAGAATGAATTATCTATTCCGGATTTTTGACACACTGACCGGTCTGATGGACAAATTCGAAAGTTTCCATCAGCCATGTCGATAACTTACGCAGACAGAGGCATGCAGGATGGTAGGTGAAAGCGGATGTCAGGGGAACCCGAATCAATGTACAGTACCTGTGCTAACTCATGAAATGTCACGAATTAACACAGGTTAACGCCTTTAACGCAAAATCGGTAAGCCCTACGGCTCCCAAAGTCTGATAGCGGAAAATAAACGATGTGCCAAAGAAATAAAGCAAAGTTTGGTTAAGAAAATATTATTTACTGAGATAAAAATAAATAATTTTCGACAAAAGTCACATTTTCGAGAAACGTCTATATTACAACCAAGTTAATAAAGGCTACGTATGAGGACGTATAAAGGAGGGGGCGCATAGAAGGTCAAAACTAATTAAGGACAGAAACAGATACAAAAAATTAGTACTTTTTAGATTGTCCATTCGAATTAATAACAGCAGAAAGTCTGTCTGACATAGACATGACAAGGTTATCTATGGTGGATTGTAAAATGTAATTATTGAGTATGAAATCCAATTTTTCCTGCATTGAAAGAGTCCTCTTAGCTTTATGCCAATTTCTTTTGACAATTCCAAAAAGATTTTCGATTGGATTCAGATCGGGACTGTTGGCCGGGATGAAAATGTATTGGAGGCCAGTTGCGGAGAGCGTGGTTGTTGTCTAAAATTTTAGATTATGTTTGCAAGCGGCATCAAATTCGTACCTCTTTAGAGCGGTGGACAGGTGCATTGTCTTGCAAAATTACAGTATCCATTCGGCGCCGACTTATGCCTTTGTAGCCGAAAGCATCCTTGACAATTGCAATGAACACCTTGCTGTTTATGGTGTCGGATGTTGACCGCCAGACAGGCCGCTCACCGAATTTAATCGCCATCCAAACCATCATCCGCCGACAGTTCTTGAATGTTGCCGTCG